TATAATATAATGCACTGAAAGTCATTTTACCCAATCAATCTATGAGTTAATCAATAGTTGAACTGTTCATTGTTTTTGTTAACGTATATATATATTTAATCACTTCAAAAATATTATTAGACAAAGTATGTAGGTGAGGTCACTTACAATGAATTGTAATAAATCTCAGTCTGTGTATATTCATCTGATTTCATAACATTTGGCAATCTTTTACCTGTTATATAAACTTAATCAATAGAGAAATGAATAGAGACTGAGAAAAGCTACAGGTAAATAGACTGTAGAAGTCATTTTTAGTTGCTATAGTTACTTACAAGTTGTGATATTGATTACTGCTGGAGTTCGATGGAGAATGCTGATAGCTGGCCTATGCTCCACCACGAGGAGTAACAGGCGTAAGTAAATACTTCTACTTAATTAAACATAATAATATGAGTTCATTCCATTTGAACATGGTGTTGTCGACTAATGATAACTTGTATTATTTCAATGTTGATATTACACGATTTATTTCACGAAATTTTAGTCATTCACCAGACAATGTAAGCAAGTATCATCATAGTATTTCAATAATTATTAATTGGTAAAATATTTCTCCTATGTATTGGAACTTATTTTCTTTGAATTATATCAAGGAGTAAAATTCAAGACGAGTATTTTGTTATGTTTGAGAGTCGTCACCTGAATGTGTCTGCATCACAGTGTCGATATTCATACTGAGACATGAAATAACAACCTATGTTTTCCAAACAGAATGTATCACCCATTAAGCTATTGTGTTTGCTAAGAACATTAAAGCCTCACGAAAAATAACCTGACGTTCAAGTAGGAAGAAGTTACTTACTTACTTCTTACTAACGCCTGTTAATCCTTGTGTTGTAGCATAGGCCGAACACCAGCATTCTCCATCAAACTCGATTCTGGACAATTCTTTCCAGTTGTCCTCAGCTGCTATTCATTCTTTTCATGTCTGCTTCCAATTCTCGGGTGACTGTATTATTTGGCCTTCTTCTATTCCCCTTATCCATTCAAGATTCTAAGTTAGCGCTTGTATTTGAGGATCTCGCTTTTTCCATGTAGCATGTAACTCTTCTGGAGTTACCACCGGTCCCACAACCAGGTAAATTAGGAGGTTTGGGGATGGGGTCATCAACATCATCCGTAGAGAACAATCCTGCTGTAAAACACTGACCGGGAAGCAGTGAGCTCTTAATCCAATCATTCTGGGGACTTTAACAGGGATTCACAGGTAACGTTGGATGAAGACCGCACTATATTTTAAGTTGAATCAGTTTAAATTATTGATCACGGCACATCCATTCAATGACTGAATAGTACCAAAGTCCTTGATATTACTAAAGATCCTGAGTTCATTCGAATGTGAAGCTGTGAATTGCATTGCTAATTAATCCGAAATTTCAATGAAATATTTATCCTTTCTGACTTTTAATACTTTTTAAGATTGTATGAATAGTGAAAATAGCCTTTGAATGTTATTAATGTTATGAAAATTGAACAACTTCATAACTTCTCTTTATGTCATAAATTCGATCATGGATGAAGTTGAAGTTAATTATTTTTCAACTATTTCAGTAAAGAACAATTATTTATCTTAAAATATGAAAGATTTTCACTTTGAAAATTAGAACAACACACATAACCAAACAGTATTGTCGATTTAATTGAAAACAATATTGTTCACTTCTATGCCTTTTTTTCTGATTTGTTATTCTTTTCCTAATTCTCCACATGATATCACTGTTCAATGCAAACAGATCAATAAAATCTTCACAGAACCTGATCATCTGAAAAATCATTCAATATTTGTTGTAATAATCTAAAATTATACAAACTACCTTTATATTTAAAGTTTTAGCATGAAATTAACTAACTTTCAGAAATTCTTTCTGTCAAAATTGAGTTTAATATTTAGTTTAGTATTCTGGTTATTCGAATTATTCACTTGGTAGAAATACCCTTAGGGATAAGACAAATAGTACGATTATTATTGATAAGAGGAGGATTCATTGCATCTCGATCACAATATATACATATATTGCCAATTCACTGAAGTTAGAATCGTATCAATGGAAATCAATGTTTAGGAGTTCGCTAAGAGACCTGAAGGTTCCGGGCTCGATCCTCACAGGGTTAGTAAGTCTACACTGCTTACAAGTTGTATATTGTGACAAGACAGCTGTTCAGTGCTCCTCGGTTTTTTATTAGTATCACAACTTAGACTAATTTGTGTAGAAAACAGCCTACAAATTAAACTAATCAACACAACATTCCTTCAGCTAAATATATAATTATTATTTAATGATTTAATAAATGTATTATAAACTAATGAAATTACAATCGAGGTCAATCATTGATTGATTGACCACTTAGTACCTAATACTCATTCCCTAATCAATAAACACTAGATGACACACAAAAAAGTTATTCAATTATGGTTAGAAAAATCAAATCAAAACAACTCGCGTTGTCCTAATTTATTTTCAGTTACTACACATTAAAAAAATCTTATCATAATAATGGGTCAAAAACTACACAACAAATAACAAAATGAGAAATACTATGATAAATTAGAACAGAAAAATCATACAAACAGCGAATATTTGTATGGGTGATATTGTAATTAATCGATAGCAGTTATTTACTTACTTACAAACGCAGGACATAGGCGTCCAACGAAGAATCTACAAACAACAATATCCTACTCCCGCTCTCACAGTTTCACCACCAGTGTTATTCATGCTTTTGATACATCCCTCCCACTCCTCATGCCATATATTCTTTAGTCAACCTTCTCACTTTCTTACATCAGAACTACATGTTAAGACTTCCTTTGCGAAGTAGTTCGATGACTTCTGAAATGTGTGTCCTATCCACCTCCAACGTCTTTTCCTAATTTATTACTCAAATGACACCTGATCTGTTCTTTACCACAGTCGATTATCGATGATGGTCTCTGGTCAACAGATCTGGAGAATATTGTCTAGAAAGCTGTTTATAGATAACCGCACCTCTCCGATGATGATTGTAATAGCTTTCAAGGTTTCAGCTCCGTATGGCAGAACTGTCTTGACAGTTGTTTTGAGTCCCAGATATATTCTTCAAATGTAGGAATACCACCCTTACTTTGCTAATCTGTTCAGTCACATCTGCATCAGATCCTTCTTGTTTATCGATGATGCTGTGCAGGTAGGTAAATGTTTCCACCTCTTGCAGAGCTCGTCTATCAAGTATGAATGGATTGGTGTTTTCTATGTTGTATTTTAGTATCTTGCTTATCTCTTCGGTATACCAATTAGCATATCATTAAAAATACAGTATAACTGGATAGGTGTTTTTCCTAGTCTGTGACTTCTCAGTATTGGACTCCCATTGCTCTACCAGCGATCGAACTCAAGACCTCCAGTCTTTGAGATGATGGTAAAGCTTTTAAACCACGTTTATAAAATACTTAACTGATAGTTTAATTATTTCAGTTCAAATGCTTCTGCAAACCAAATTTATCAAAGGGATTAATTGACTTGAACCAGATTTCATTTTCTTTGTTTAATCATTACTTCTATCAGCCTATTACTTAAGACTGCAGTATAATATCCAGTTATAATCCTTAAGAATCCATTCAATGATAGTGTGCAAAATTTATATAATCTAAATGTCTATGTATGAATACTGCTATACAGACGATCTCTGACACCTAACTGATCGATCAACGCTCTTAGCAAATAAAAAGCCTTTCATTTTTACACAACACTTTCTACATCTATTCAATGCTTATTTCAGTATTTTAAATTATTACAATTAACTATGACTTCAGATAATTATATGTATTGTTCAATTGTTGAATTACAGTAGAATATGAGATGGTGGAGAAGACTTGTAGCTCAGGTGGATGATTTTCATGAAGTTTTGTTCTCTGAGCTCAGAGAACACCAGTAGTTTGGAATCAGGGTTTTACAACTCCCCTAGGTGGATCCTCAATATCCACCAACCCGGTTAAAATGCCGGATATTCACTTTTCATCCTCTCAATTTTGTAAGCCATAGTAATGCCGCGAGAAGGCGGTGAGCAGGACTTTCCTGACAGTTGTTGCATACGCGTGGCCATGTGAGAACATTTTGATGAGGAAGACGGACTCCCCCCACCCTCGGCCATAGCAGGACATTCGGGGGAAGACCATACAGACACACTTAGAGTTAAAACCTAACACTAAATATGATAATCATAACTACAGATTAATAGACTGAAGAATTTTTTCCTCTAAAATTACTTGTCTTCTCTCATAGAATGCAATGAAACTAGAAGAGAAAGAAAGGTTGAACTATTGTTGTTAGTTCCGTATTCTCTCAAATTCATTAAAACATAGAAAGAATTCTTTACAGAAAGTAATTTTAACAGGATTTTAGCTAATTGCAAAACTCAGTAAAACTGAAAAACTGGAAAAATATTTTCTTTTCTGTCTGAAATAAATTAGGTAAATTATATATATATATATATATATATATATATATATATATATATATATATATATATATATATATATATATATATATATATATATTGAAGAGATTATTTTGAGTAAATTAACCAAAATAAATGACGATTATGTATCTATGACATTCAGTACAGAAGAACAGCGTAATATCGTATTGATGTTTGATGATAAGAGATTTAAAGCATGTATGCAATTAGAAAAACGGATAGATCCAGATAAACAAAATAAAACGAGTTCCAAGGAGTAATCAAAAAATTTTAGTAATCAATTTTTTAAGAACCGGAAAAAAATTACAGGTATAATTATCGTAATAATTATGAACAAACTGTTCCCACATGGCATACAAATAGCAAATCATAGGCCAAGTTGGGTCATAAACCATTGTTATTAATAGTCATATATATATATATATATATATATATATATATATATATATATATATATATATATATATATATATATATATATATAGTCAGGTTTCTTCATACACTCAGATTTGTTGGTAGCCACCACTGCCACTGCTTCCACTGATATTGCGATTACGCCGACTTGTGATAATGAATGCGATCAGCGCAACGATAATCATTACCGCTAACGATATACCAATGACAATTGGAACAACTCTATCTAAATGATAGTCGAGTAAGCACTGAACCACTAATTAGAAGAAAATTTTCGAAAACAAAAACATTCAATGGTTATTTGAAAGAAACAAAAACGAAAATCAAAGCACAAATGATCCGCTACTTAAAAATCAAATAGGTTAAAATAATGAAGCCAGATGAAGAACCATGTACCGTACTAGGAAATACAAAGATAGTATGATGTACAGAAATGGTTATTAAATCTGTTATAATGGAGGAGAATTATAGGATTTTTTTATTGTGGAATCAATTGTCTGAATTGATGTGAATGGTGGCTAAGCGAGGATTACTTACGCAAACTAAACAACTGATACAGTTTAAAAATGAACAAATATCAAACGATAAAACAAATGGTCGGCAGAGTTATTTTATATGACAAAATGAAACACTAATGAGCAATATGGTTGACACAAAAATTAACATGACTGAATATCCATTTAAACACCGGGACACTGGGAAGACCAATTAAATAGATGCGGAAATGAGGAGATACAACCTGATGGTGCTCGCAATCAATGAAGCCTATTGAACCAAATTTGGACAGAAAAGGATCGGTTTGGGAGAGATGCTTTTATACTCCGATCACTAGGAATAAAATGATCCATTCACTCAGCGAGTTACACTGATGTTGTTCAAACAAGCACAAAATGCACTTATTTGGTGGCAATCTCATGGATCTAGGATCATCAAAGCATCATCCAAAACAAAGGAAGGAGACACAATCAATGTTATTCAATGTTATACACCCAACAATAATGGAAAAGATGACGATAAAGATTTACGAGGCTGCCATCAATCGTAGTGAAGTGCTCAGGAAAGGACCTGGCCATCTTGATGGGAGACCTAAACTCAAAATTCGGACTGAACAACACCGGATATGAAGATATCATGGGGTGACATGAACTGACTGGGAGAAGGGAACGAGAAAGGCAACAGATTTGCAAATTTATGTGCACTCAACAAAATGGTTATAGGCGGCACAATATTCCCACGTAAACAAAGGAGATCTGAACAAATGTGAGAACTACAGAGGCATCGCACCAGGAAAAGTTTGCAACAGTGTTGCTGAACTGGATGAAACATTCAGTAGATGTCCAGCTTCAAAATTAACAGAACGGATTCCGTCAGAATCGGTCATCCACAAACCAAATCGCGACATTACCAATCATCGTTGGACAATCTACTGAATGCAACTCGTCACTATACATCAACTTCCTTGATTACGAGGGATATGGACAGAACATCATGGAAACTTCCTCGACACTGGTGTGCCTGAGAAAATTGTCAACATCATACGAAATTCACACGACGGACTACAGTGCAAAATCGTGCATGGAGGACAGCTGACAGACGCGTTGCAATAGAGGACCGAAGTCAGACAACGCTTCCTACTCTCCCCTTCCTTCTTCTTCTGATGGTTGACTGGATTGTGAATACATTAACATCTAAGGGGAAGCACGGAATACAGTGGACATGTTGGATGCAACTAGATGGTTTGGACTTTGCAGATGACCTGGTTCTTCTATCTCTCTCACACACACACTAACAAATGCAGGTCAAAACAAACAATGTAGCAGCAGCCTCTCCAGAAGTAGGTTTCAATATACACAAAAGAAAAAGCAACACCCTCAAATACAACGCAGAGAACACCGACCTGGTCACAATTGATGGAGAAACTCCGGAAAATGTGCAAACTTTCACGTACCTACATACACAGCGTCATCGACGAATAAGGAGGGTCCGATCCAGACATAAAGTCAAGGATTGGAAAACCAAAGACAACATTCTTACAATTGAAGAACATATGCGACGCAAAACAACTGTCTGTCAACCAATATCAAAGTCATAATCTTCAATACGAACGTCAACACAGTCAGTTCTACAGTACGGAGCTCAAACTTGCAAAGCCACTACAACCATCATCAAGAAAGTACAAGTATTTATCGAAAATTGTCTACTCAAGATACTCAATGTCCATTGTTGACTGGATACCATCAGTAACAGCCTACTGTGGGAGAGAACAACCCAGATCCCAGTTGAAGAGGAAACTAAGGAAAGACGTTGTGAGTGGATAGGACATACACTTCGGAGATCATCAAACTGCATCATGAGGCAAGCGCGAACTTGGAATCCTGAATGTTTAAGTGAGAATTATGTGTCAACCCGAGGTAAAGAAAGGACAATATCCGAAGTCCTGGTAAAATGACCAGGTTTTGAAACTGTACTAAATCCAGTAACTGAATTACACGTTGTACCAGTCATTTATTTATTTATTTGAACACCACCATTACCAGTCAAGTGATCACTTTCCTTAGATGATAATGATTGAGGTCGCGATCAGACTGGATAAAGACAAAGGTGATCAGTCATTCATTAGCGGTAGATTTTACGAAATAACAAAGGAATCCCCACCTTTCACTTTGAAATCAAAGGAAAGACACGTAAACGGTACTCTTGAAACTTTAAATCAGCGAACACAATGGTGGACGTCTGTTAAACAGCTGCATTCAACAGGCCTGACAAAGAGATCTTGTGGTAGTCTTCCCCTTGAATGTCCACCCAAGAAGTATGTCAACCTACCAAAGGCTTACCACTCGAACCCCATTAGTCGGGTCAAAGCTTATTTATCTATCAGGACTGTCGAGATTCCTCTGAAAAAACCCTGAAACACAAACAATAACTTCCATAAAGTGAAATATAATTGATTTTCCACTAATGTACGGTTTAGAACTGCTATAGTTGATGACAGCATTAATATAAAAGCATACTGGATAACTCAGATTTTGCTGTAATAAAAAACATAGAATCTCCCCAAGCATGAACGAAAATCTAAAACGTTCAACAAACCAAAAGAAGTCCTACATGATCAGCCTTTAACAAACTATCATTAGGCTTAAATAAAAGGGAAATTGTGATGTATAAACTATAGTGAACTGTCAGTATTGTTACCTTGTCTATATAACCGAAGTAGACACTGATAGTTTATACACCCTATGAATCGTGTTGCACATAAGTTTATTTAACAACAAAAACAACCCCTGTTTGTTGCTTGAAAACAAGGATAATTAATAACAAAGATAGTGAATCGAATCACCACCGAACGACCATTATTCGTAAACGACAAACGGTACATAGCTAATAAACCTTTACATCAATAAATAATAAACTTATATAATATTAAGGAAAACTTACTGATACCATTAAATTCAGGCTCTAAACCATGTCTGAATGCTTGAACTCTCAACTGAGACAAAGTTAGTTTAACAGTTACAGGATTCGGTGTGGAATGATTTAAAACTATGTTCTGTTCAGCTTGACAAGAATAGTATGAACCGATTGTAACGGAAAATAGCGAACGGTTATTTGATGCATATCTTAAACCTACATGTAAAAACAGAATCAAAATTTGTAAAGTTGGACTGTTAAATGTTTAAAGAGAAGCAACAGGTCTAAAAAAATATTGCTAGAAACTTCTTTTAAAAACTAATGACAGAAACATCGATCAACAAATTCATGTCAAATATTGGGTCTTTAGGGTTGATACATAATAGGCAAGTGATACTAACTCATACAAGGAATTATTTACAGCAATTAAAATAAGTAACTCTAAGAATAAAAAATAACATATATGAATTACCAACCCGGCAAATCATCCAGTTCATAAAGTAAGCTAATTTCACTGAGGTTGTAACTATTTTCAGACTTGGCGAATTGAAATGTAAGGTTCCAAGTACTGTTTGACCAATCTGTTTTCCAAGATAAGTCCAAACTTTCTATCTCCTTTTCGAAATAACCCGAAACTTGAAATTCTCCCTGACTTGCCGAATCAACTGAAACTACGACAGGTGGTTTTTGAACCTACATGCATCGAAGTCAGATGTGGGTAATGCAGTAAGGACGTGAAGAAAAAAAAGTTAACCGGAATGTCTTATAGTTTTATAAGCAAATTTAAGAAGTATAGGATTGGTTGAACACAAAACTTCCATTTTGTGAAGTATTAAGACGACTACCGACGTTTTGATATTAAATAGAGGCATAATATAATGGTCTAAGTAGCCGGTCGTTTGTTTTGTGGTGGAAACTAAAGGAACTTCATAAAATGACTGGAGACAAACAATATATTAAGTATTTTTGTTATGTGAGTGTTTCCTAGTCTTGAATATAAACTTGTAAAGGATCACTGAACTGTATTATTTTCCAATGTTTATGCCTTAAGTGGTCTCAGATAAAGACTGATATTCCACGAATAAGATCAAAATATATTTTGCTCGTAGTCTTCGTACATCCACACATACAAAACATTACTGAATAGTATCCGCACTATATATAACGATTATGCCAAGAACATACAAGTGGTCTAGTTTGGGGAATAACATCGTTTGTTTCGTTAGTCAGAAAAGCTTAGAACACTGCTGTGATACTGTGAATACTTCTACCCTGTCATTAGGTCTGATGGATGTGTCTCCCAACTTTTCCCACAAGACTAAAACTTATGGATAAACGAACGAAATTTAGGATAACAGGTCTCAGTCATGTAATTGAATAATATTTCGCCATAATAGCTAATGTCAGTTCGCGATGAAAACCCTTACTTGAATTCTAACTCTATATCCTAATTATAATTCTACTAATTAAATTACAAAACTCATTTAACCCTGGTAAGTGAATTATCTCGAGGTCACTAACGACCTTAGGGTTGACCATAAATTACAGTTCGTCCAGTTTTGCAAATCAAATGTATAAAAGTGAAATTGGATCCTAACCTTTGTGTAAGCCAAAGTCATATTTATATAGCCTTGCAATAGTATGTTTGAATCATTTGAGCCAATTCGAAAAGTAGCAGGTGATGTGACAGGACCCACGCCAAAGCATACGATCTGATCGAAACCTATGATCTCAAAGCATTATGAAGTAATTATTACATGCAACAATTAACGCCGAGAGAACTACGAACATGGCTGCGATAAGATTTCCGAACAGGTTGGGATGTTTTCAGTCGTAAACAGGTTTGTGCTCAGTCTTCAGGTATATTGTTGTTAGGAATCGATGGACAGTGAAATTAGACTTGGTGATGGTAGCTCCCTTAACCTATTACCTAGAAAAGAGATGAAAAACAGTTGATCAGACCCATATGTGCTTCAAGCATACAACAAATACTCACATACTTCTAAAAATGGTAGCACTTAACAGTTAACAAGTGTTAAGTTAAAACTTGAATAAGCATACCCGCAGCGTCCTTGAAGTCATAAATCAATTCCGTTTGTTTTTCCTCCAACTTCGACCTTGGTCGGATAGAAACGGCGAATTTATTTTGCCTTGTTATACCTGATTATGTGTAAAGACTCAGAAACATTTGCTTCAAAAGTACTTCAATGTTAACTTTTCCGGAAAAACTTCTTGTAGTTGTTGCAAAGTAAAATAGACCCCCAAAATAAATAGTTTCAGTTTCAGTTTCAGTTTCAGTTTGGGAAGGACAGGAGGCTCGATGGCCTATGTTAGTCTTGGCAATGGTGGTCTCTCAGTTGATCCAACTTTCTTTTGAAAGAGTCGACGGATGGAGCCTCAACCACGTGCTGAGGTAGTGAATTCCACTCGTTGATGATTCGATGGGAAAGTCGATAGTCAGCTGACAAGTAATTTGTTCTCGGCCTGTGAACTTTTTTGGAGTGTCCTCGTAAATTCTCTGTTTTGAAAGACAAGAAAAATGAGGGCATGTTAGGTGCAAATTTATCACTAAGCAATTTGTAGACTGTAATCAAGTCGCCTCTAGTTCTGCGATATGACAACGGGAAAAGGTTCAGCTTGGCCAGTCGAGATTCATACGGAAGCTTCGCTATTCCGGGAACCAGCTTAGTGGCCGTTCTCTGAACCTTTTCCAGAAGCTCACTGTCTTTTTTTAAGCAGGGGCTAGCCGCTGGTATGCAGTACTCAAGTTTAGGACGTACGAACACTGTATATAAGGTCAAAAACGTCTTAGCGTATGTCTTCATCATTGAAGACTATTTTATCTATTAGATACACCCTAGATGAATGCGCTCGGCCATCCATCCGCACTATTTCACGAGTAGCTACACTGCGCATTCCTGCTAGCCAGCTAAGACTAAACGCTTCTCGATGTATCAATAGATTCCCGAATATATCTTCTATTTCTTTCATTTCTGACCTCTGATTTCATTGGGTTGGTATCCTTCGATTAACAAAGTGGTGTAGCGGTAAATAAATCCCCAAAATAAATAACTCTGTGAGTTTTCGACATTGGATGCTGACCATATTAGTTTTAATGGACTCACCTAGCTGAAGGCGCTCGGTCATGCATCCGCACCAGATCACGAGTGGGAACGCCGTGCTCAACAACCCCTGCAATCGCTAGCCAGATTAGATCAGACGATCCTCGATATATTGATAGTCTGTCAAATATATCTTCGAACCTCCTCGCTTCTGTCATTTGATTTCACTAGGTGGGTACGCTTCATATTTGATGTTACTGGCTAAAGCGTTGTCAAAATCCGAATACCTGTGGCATCCTCAGTGTCACGTCTAAGTGTGTTGTGAAACTCGGAATACGGTAAATGAATTTTCTCAAAGTATTCGATACTGACCTAGTCAGTCTTACTGAACATGCTGATTATGCCTAATCACTCACTCGAACCAGATCATTTTAGGGCATGCCATGCAACTCATCCTTCTCAACAACTGGTCAGATTGGACCACACACTCCTCAACATACCGAATATCTCACAAATATATCTTTAATCTCTTACGTTTCTGACTTCTGGTTTGACAAAGTTTTTGAGATTCGATTATATATGTGTTATGGAAATAAGTTTTTCAATCCTTAAATATCCATGACGCATTATTGCATAACTTTTGCTTAACCCATTTAAAACTCCTTTGCATGTGGGCATAATGTAGATCACAAACATAGATGATTTATGTCGAATGACTGGAGGCCAACTCGAGTTAGACGGGAATGGTGTGACGAACCAGCTAACGTCGAAGACACACCTCGCGGTCAGCACCTTACGTGGATTACCCCATTGACGTATCAAGGTAGTATAGACACATTGAAGACTGTACAACACAAAGGACTTTATTGCAGAAATATATCAGTTAAAGTAGATACAAGCGAAGGTAATACCATTGCCGCATGAGCCAAAAACTGTACCTTGAGGCATTCTCCTAACCACAGTTTCCTAGACATACAACTTCCAGTTCACCCGAACTGTTTGCTCACGCCCAACTAGGAAGTCTTTTTCCACATTATTAAATTGCCTTTATTCACAATATTACATAACTGAGATAAAAATCGTTTGTGAAGAACTTTATCGAAAGCCTCACTGAAGTCAATCTAGGATACGTCTATAGGTAACTTTTGATCTGTAAGAACTCAGCATTTTCACAGGCTACTATTATGTTAGTGAGACATTAATAATCTATTCAAAAGCCGTGATGCTTTTCAGAAAGAATCTGGATTTTGTCTAAATACTCAAATAACTCCTTCGCAACAGTGTTTTCTTTATTTCGACAACCATACTGGTAAGGCTTACGAGTCGATAGTCCTCATGTCTGTGTCTTGTATCAGTCTTAAAGTCAGTATTTACTATGATGTTCCTCCAGTCTTTTGGTAATCGACCGTGAGTTACAGATATATTAAAACATATGCCTGAGGGATTCGCTGTGAAATTTATCAATTCCTTTAGTAACCCAGTATGGATTTCATCGAGTTTCATGAATTTGACTATATGAGGGTCACTTAGCAGACCAAGGATATTGGGTTCTTTAGCGGTCGTAGTGTACGGTGCGTGTGTGAGTCATAAACTACAGGGTGGGGCATCTCTGGGGTAAATACATCGATAAGGTAATTTTACAATTCCTGCCTTTACAATATTCTTCCCCACCAATCGTTTGTACTGCTGTCTTTCCATAATACTGGGATGTTATCATTTCTCTTAATCCTTTGATTTATGTTCAGTTTCGATGACAATTCGACTGGCTTCATGCTGCACCCTGAGTGGTTTCAGCGTCATTCTCTATCAAAGACTCGTCGCCTAAAAAAATTAACTCTAAGGTCCTTCTCGCCAGCACTTAATCTTAGTTTTAGTTCTTCAGCTTTTTGTCTTTTCGCACGATCCGTGAGCGGCAAGTCTTTGCGAACACAAACTCCTAGCCTCCTAATTAACGTCTATTCTGTAATGCCAAGGTCCTTTCATTTAGAGACGTATTTACCACTTTTAGCAGCCCGGTTTTGATTCTGTTTCAAGTCCTTTTGTCTAAACAGAACAAAACCTCCCGGCTAAATGACCTCACGGATATCTTGAGGCAATAAGTGGTCAAGCATTTCTTTTATCAACTCAGTATCATTGACGATGCCACAGGTATTCGGATTTTGACAACGCTTTAGCCAGTAACATCAAATATGAAGCGTACCCACCTAGTGAAATCAAATGACAGAAGCGAGGAGGTTCGAAGATATATTTGACAGACTATCAATATATCGAGCATCGTCTGATCTAATCTGGCTAGCGATTGCAGGGGTTGTTGAGCACGGCGTTCCCACTCGTGATCTGGTGCGGATGCATGACCGAGCGCCTTCAGCTAGGTGAGTCCATTAAAACTAATATGGTCAGCATCCAATGTCGAAAACTCACAGAGTTATTTATTTTGGGGATTTATTTACCGCTACATCATGCTCGAAACGAGTTTTGGATTCTGAGCTTCTGCTCTCCTTGTTCCTATGAGAGACGACTGGAATATCATGATGATCAGCCTTTGATTCCTCAGTTAATGTTTGGGGAGATTGTGTTTTCTTCAATGACATAAAGTCGTTTTTATTCTTGGTTTGGACGCTTTCATTTTTTTGCTGGAGTAGTGATTACAGTCTCGTTACAAACCTTGTGAGATCCTGAGTGGTTGTTTATAACTTGTGTAGTGAGATCGTTAAAGACCCAGCTGTATCACTGGGTTTTCCAGTAGTCTCCCACCTACTGCCGTTGAAAGAGAGAGGGACAGAAGAAACCTGTTCTCTTGAGCTCTTATTCCTAACAGATCTCTTTGACGTCGGTTTTCTCCCTATGGTTCATGTAATGCAATGGACTCTGTGATTAGTTGGGATGGCTCAACACCCGTTTGTTTACCAACAGAGCGAGTACTATTTAAATTATCTCGATTACACTTGCCAATGCTCCTTCTAGCAGTGTTCACCATGGCTTCGGATAGCAAGCTTTTTGCGACCGAGCGGAATTGCTGCTTCGACCAAACGTGACTATTTTTACTAAACCGTTTGAAAGCCAGAGGAGTTAGATTCATGATGTCGCTGTGATGTCATCATTTGCACTCATCCCACTGAATGCCACTTTCCACTAAGTATCAGAAACCCAAACATTTACAGCCTCATTTTTTAGCAATAATCAGCCATCAATCAGAGGTTTCCGAATAAATTAGACACGAAAACTCAACGAGACAAAACGTGATAACCAGAAGAAAAAGCGGAATCATAAACCGTTAGAGTCAAAAGTTCAGCAAACAGAAATCCAAGACACTCAAAAGTACAGCTGATAAATTAATTTCGGAAAAACGATACTATTGGTATTACTCCGACTGAAATAAATTCAGTTAAAGCGAAGATAGTAGTCTTAATGCGTAATAAACAACCAAAACTGTAAAATAACTCAACGAGGAGAAATACCACTATCCTTTTTAAATAGCGCTTCTATTACACCACGATGTGGTTAAAAATCACTTAGTGGATGCATTCGAAAGAAGGTTAAGTAAATTGAGAGACCTC